TCGCAATGAAGTCGTAAAAAAATCTATTTATGAGACAGAACAAAAGTCTATATATTACAAATCTGTCTTGTGATGCCACAAGAGGGTTTAAGAGACATTGAATTATGTTTTATATGAATATTCAGACATTCATATTTACTACCAAATATATAATATCATTGCTAACATTGCGATAAAAATTCAATATAATATCTATATGTTAGACAGAACGAGATTATATATCTGCCTTGCAGTGTTACGAGGGGGGTACACGAGTTATTTAATTCAATTTTATAGAATAATCCTATGTTCATAATTACTAACAAAATGTATATAATGTCATTGTTTACAGCGAAATAAAAAACACAATATAAAATCTATGTATAAGACCAAAAGAGATTATGTTCATAACAAATTATCTGCCCTGCATTACCACAAGGGGGTACACAAGGCATTCAATTATATTTTGTATTAATACTCACAAGTCCATATTTACTATCGAAATTTATATAATATTATTGTATTTACATTGCATTTTTATCACAGTGTAATAAAAATGCAATGTAAAATCTATGTTTGAGACAGATCGAGAGTTAACATATATATAATGACATATCCGCCTTGCGGTGCCATGAGGGGGTACATGAGACATTGGATTCTATTTCACATGAATATTCATATGTTCTTTTAACTACAAAAATGGTTATTATACTCACGCTACCACTGGTGAGTACATAATCCTATTTTCACAACTGATCTTACTCATGTTGGGGTCAAATGAGGAGACAAATTATTTACTCGAGTGATGAAAAGATAAAGATTCTGTTTCACACAGCAATTTCAACCCCAAAAACTTATCAGTCAACCTTAAATTATATGAAAAGTTGCTATTAATGTTCTCGATATCTGAACCATTATTTTTGACAATTCCTAAATCATAGATAGGTTATTTCAAAAATCAGCCCTATACTTTGAAATTACTTTCAAATTTCAACATTTGACGAGTATGTAGAGGACTTATCAAGAGTTAAAGGGAGTTTAACTGAGTTAATCTCGGCTGCTTTTATTGGTGTTGCGCGCTTGTACCTTTTGCCCTGGACGAGAGTGGAACTTTCGTCTTCGGGTTTGAGCGGGGCATGCGTCTCAGTCTCCGTGTCGAAGTCTGAGTCGGCAACCGAAAAGGTCGGAGAAAGGTCAGAGAAAGACATCGCGGAGGGTGCAGGGGACACTACGTCGTTCACCGACGCGAACGAAGCCGGTCAGACCGGGACGAAGGGAGGAGAGAGGGGGTTTTCCTTGTGAAAAATTTGCTTATCACTCGTCGTTGCGTTGCCTAAAGCACGCCGACCAAATATCGGGAAAGACTCGAGTTCGTTATATGAGAACAACGTCATCTTTTCCTATGCTAACACAAGTTAATACAAATGTGTAACAAATTCCCCCACCTTTTGACGGAGGAGGTGTGAGCCTAAATAAACAACTATACACCTAACACGTTGATACGCTAGGATATGTATCTAGCAGAAACTAAATTAAAATAGATGGCTGCCTCCGAGTAGCGAGTATCTTTCACTTTACTTACGGTTTGCCCAAAACCAGGAAGCGAGGAAGGAGAGTTATGCACAAAACACTCCTTGCAACACCACAAGCGTCCTATAAACTTCACTGTGAGACTGCTGTTATCCGGGACAGCGTGCTTCGCACACCACCCTGTGAGCACTAACACAATCACCAAGCATAGAGTACCAAGCAGCGAATGAGGTATGATATGTTATTTTGTAGTCGCGCACATGAGCTAGTAAAGTGGAGTGACAGGAGTGAACTGAATTTGAACTTTAACCATTACTAGACAACAAATCTCCTTAATTATAGAAAATATTTGCAGTAATTTACTAATTTAACTGGTCAAATGGCATCATAAAATATCTTGCCACTGTCTAGGTAATTCTATCTAGTCTGGGTAATTTACATCTGTCATATACAAAGTTGTGCCTAATCATAAAAAGTGCCTATAGAAGGCCAGATATAAAAACATATTTGTAATACATTATTGAATAAATATCAATTTTATTTTATTTAATTTAAAAAAGATATAAAAATTGTGCTAATTTATTTTTAATATTTTGCAGCTTGTGATCAAAAAAGACGGACAGGGCGAAAAACAATAAAGTTCAAAATCATGCAAAACAAAAACGGGTAAAGAATAAACTCGGTTCATGTCAAAACGCTTTAGACAAAAACAATTAAATATTATACAATTAAATTAATATATTTTTCTGTTTTCTTGGCAACCGTTAGTGTCTTTTGTAATAGCTCTATTATTTATATACGAGAAATCGTTTAAGTCCCTAAAACCTTTTAAATTATGATATGTTTGTGTGTGAGCTTATTGCTAAAGCAATTCTGAGACCGTATTGACTTATTTAAATAAAATATTTTTATTATTACAGGTTTGAATATATATTTTATTAAATAGGTTTAAAATTTCTAGCTAATTAAACCAAAGTATAAAGGGGAAAGTTTTAGCTACTTTTTTGTGTTGTTACCAAAATTAAATAAAAAAATTACCTTATTTCTTTCTATGCGTGGCGTGTGAGCCAATTAATAAAGCATTAACATTGTGTAAAAAGTGATTGAATTTGAATTTAAATAAATAATTAAACAAATATGAGGTATAATATAAAGTAAAGTAAGTATAAATTTTTATCAAATTATCAGACTAATAACAAGAGACAATATAAAATATTCAAGTTATAAGTGTAATAGCTAAATCGTCTGCATTATAATAATAATAATTTATTTTATTTTGATAAACTCTACAAATTATTCCAATAAGTCTTAACTTAAAAATAGTCTACAATAACAGGCATTTGAACTAGGATAAACAAATATTTTATTATACATTAACAAATTAATATTTTCTGTTTCTTATATAAAATGAATAACGTACTAACTAATAAGGGTTATTTGGGTAAAATATATTATCATTAAATTACTTATGATATTAATTAACTTAAAACAATCAGCAACTTCTCCGTATCATCGTATGACACATTTTGTAACCATGTTCGAATTACCTTTTTACAGTCTGCCATTTTAATGGATATATGTACTAAATTGCATTGACTTGATTATACAAAAAAGGGCGAGGAATGTAAAAAATCTATGCATGAAATAATGCCTTATTCTAATGTTAGTTTCAAGTACTTTATCTTTGCGTCTTTTATCAGTGACCTCTCTTCTGTAGGGCAATTTATTGTGGGGCAGCGTATGGTCTATAGGGCATTATATTGGAAAAGGCATATGTTCGATAATTTCATTTACAATTTCATGATGAAATTGATTGTCTTACTAAAAATAGGTTAAGAAAGTTTATGATATTCGAAGACACTTTTTTATTTAAAAAAAATATTACGATATAACCACGCGTAAGATCCATCCATCCAGACCTGCTATGAAGAGCAACGTCAAAAGTTCGAGACGTCTGCTATCCTTTCAACGGTAAAAGGCTCATGGTGTCAATATTTTTTAAAAAAAGAGAATAGCAATGAGACATTCCGCCATATACATTTGTGTTCTGTTATATAAAATATTAATGAATACTTAACTTTTGGTTTTTATATATTCAACAAATGTAAAAAATACAAGTAAATTTTATATTCAGCGCTGCACTATTGAGTAGCATTTCATGTTACAATTGCAAGTAAACTTCAAAGAATGCGCGTATTAATAAATCAGCTAAATCCATTATTCGGTTCTACAGTGTATTTGTTTTATTATAAATTCCACAAACCCACAAAATGCTCATAAAAACGTTGATTATTGAACTTTACTTATCCATCGTTAAAATTTGCTAATATGTGATGGAAAGACGTAATAAAAGTGCCAGCGTATCGGATCAGTGTTCACAAGCTCATTGAAACACCTTTTAAAGTTACGGGCTATCATGTTGGAATGCACTAGAACGTCCATATCTATGCTGTGATACAGATTTTGAGCAATAATATGATCCAAGTATCTGATCGTCTTTACCTTCTTCAATTGAGAATTACCCAAATTCACTGGGGATATACGAGAACTACCACTCTCAAAAAAACTTATGATCCACAACTCAATTTTTCTGACGCCAAAAATGTCACCACATCCGTAGAACTATCCATTTGAAATCAAATCAGGTATCGATAATTTCGGAATAATTTCTAATGATGTGGTCAAGATTTAAGCAAAAGTTGCAGCTATAGATTGACCTATGTATGTCACAACTGTCATAAAAACTACTCAATTTACATTTAATGGCATGTTTTATTATCGTTTATTGAATTGCTATAGAAAGATACTCACGTTATAGACGGGAATGGAAAAGTACTGATGTTATATATAAAATACGTATTATCATATATTATTATTAGTATTATCATAGTTATAAGTGACCGATTATGATGTAAATTGTGTAAAATACTAGAAAAAAAATGATTAAAAACATCACACAGCATTGTAACAATTGGGTGACTGAAAATATGAATTGAACTCTATTCCGTTAATAAATCCTCAAATTGAGGTTGTGGCGAGTTGAATGAGTTACCGACCGCACGTGTGTATACTTGAGATTAAGTTTAAAAATCATATCTGTATTTATAACTATATATCGGTGTTATCCTTACCTATCGATTTGTGTATGTGACGGTTCAGAATTCCAAGTGATAGTGCGAAAATAAACGTTAAATAACTCCAACAGCTGTGTTTCTGTGCTTTAACAATAGATTCATGCCGTGTCACCTTGAAAGTTAAACCAGTTACCCGACTTACACCTGACTAGTGTGTTTTATGCTTTTATTGACTATTTTCGCTGCATTAGCTATTGGTCGCTTAGCGTAGCGGTTCAACGTAGTGACATCATCTATCAACGGGGGATCTAGTCTCAATCCGTAAAACTTCTTGCGCTTTTTTTTTACATTTTGCTGTATATTAGCTTATTTACGTTTTTTTGGCATTTGTTTGTTCTAAATATAAGTGTAATCATTATGCCGAATAAAATTGATTGTGCTGGTTGCCGCAACCCAATTGTGGCAAAAAAACATCTTCAATGCTGTAGGTGTCAACAGCCTTACGACCTTCAATGTGCAAACATTAAATTAAACCAATTTAATAGCATGGCAGAAGATCAAAGGGCTAAATGGAAATGTGTGGTATGTATTAGTAAACAGCCGAAAACCGATAACACAGATACCCCGGCACGTGTGGGCGTAGAAGGGGTCAATAGAAATAGAGGTTCAGCAGCGGTGAGTCTTCAGGACTTATTAGAAGACGATAGAGCGCAGAGTGTAACTATGCCAGCAAAAGATCTACAACTGCTTATAATGGAGGTACGTCAATTCAAAGAAGAAGTGAGAGCCATATGTCTCCAAATGGAATTACTGAATGGCACTTTGGCTGCTCTGGCGCTCAGAAATGATGAATCTGATAAGAAAATTGAAAAGCTAGAAGTCCATGTGGATCTTCTGGAAGATTGTCATGCTGATAGTATGAATATTTTATCAAGACATTTTTTTAAATCAACACAACACGTGTCATCTATACGAGCGCCTAGCTAATGACTGATTAAAGTGCGGCGATATCGCTGCAGTTGAATGGGACAGTGTAACTAAATGCAGTATCGCCTCTAGTACGTAGTACATAATAGCTCAATGTTGGGGAATGATTAGGGTGAAACGTCAAAAGCACAAACTAATAAGAGTCAAAAGGTATTTCTTTGATTTGGTGGAGTATAGATAGTGTTGACGTCGGCTAAATACTCTGCGGTCTCAGTTTCGTCAAGATCATCAGGCTTCTTAAAGCCTTATTGTAAGTCTTTATACATGCAAAGTTAGTACTTATGTCTGGTTACTCAATCCTATTTTTCAATACTATTTTTTATTTTGCCTCATGAGGTGTTCCGAATATCACTACATTTTTTTAAATAAGGATGTTTTAAAAACATTATCTTTTATGCAAAACTAGTGATCCGAGTAGGCGATTCACACAGTAGATTTCTGGATTCCGACAACAGCGCCACCTACCGGTTCAAATGTGAATCTAAATCATCTAGGAACCCATTCACACACTCAAAAAAATTATCAAAATCGGTCGAGCCGTTTTTGAGTTTTAGCGAGACTAGCGGACAGCAATTGATTTTATATATAATATGGAGTATGCTTTCACTGGTCAACATGCAGTGCTGATATTTCATATGTATCTATATTTAAGGGTGTTAGGGTGTAGGGTGTCGTTCGGCGAGATCCCGCGCATCGATCCCGTCACGGGTACACGCAGCGAGCGGGGTCGTTGCGTGCGACCGTCGTATCCTCCACGGGATTCCTGGTTAACGCTACGGACTCTAATTATAAACTAGCTTTGACCCGTGTAGTGCTTACAACCGCAAAACCTGCCGATTTTTTTATAATAGAGGTCTTTGGCAAGGAGATCAATTATAGAATAACAAATTGTTAAAAATAGATTTGCATCAAACTTTTAAAATGATTTTTGACCAGTTTGCCATTTGGGTTGGTAACCGCACTTTCTTATTTTGTAGTTGTTGTTAGGAAGACCCTGCACATCTGCACTTCTCCTGGCGCGTTTCCTTGTCGGCTCTTACGACACCCGCAGAACGAAATGGGGTAGTAAACTTTATGCCGCTACTACACGGTACATTAGTTACATAGTAATATTAAATTATTTATTCAATTCCTTAATGCTTAAGTTATCGTTTCTATTGGGGAGGCCTCAAAACTCGTTAAAAACCATTGATAATATAGTCAGCACCACACGCGTGGGGAGGGGAAACTCGGAAACTGTGGCGGAGTCACGTCCGAGGCCTATAGTTGTGAAGGATAATCTCTTAAGGATCAAGTGTTGATGGCGACTCGCGTTCGTCGCGGCATAACTACCGAAGACACTGGTTTACCGGCTCCGCACCGTCGATTCTACGATAATGAGAGACTGACGAAAGTCAACTGGCGACTTTTTTGGCAAGCTCGTGAACTCGGAAGAAAGCTGGGCTGGTGGTTCATATGGACAAGGGGAGGCAGGATATACCAGGGACCAGACCAGGGAGCCCCCGCGTCAGCGTATTCGTACGGAGAGGGACTTGAGCCGGGTTTTTGTGGTTGATGCCGTTAGTAAATCTCTCATCAAAAATGATTAACTACATCTGTATTTATTATTATTTATATGGCATTACTTTAATATATATTTGTTGCATAAATCTATTAACATTTGTTAAACAATATCATTTTTGTAGTACCCACTTGCTACTTGTTAGCTGTGTCTTCTTCTAGTTGTTTTCTAATAGGCTTAATATTTTATTCATTGCATTTTCATCAGTTTTGTATAATAATCTTAGCATTTTAAAATCATTAAATATAAATGAAATGCAACGGAATGCAACATATATTTTGTTAAATGAATTGTATAACTTGTATGATGAAGTTATTTACCTTTTATCTTAACTATGTATTAATATATGTGCCTTATTTGTTATTAATAAACGGGTGTTGTGTGGGCGTTCTTGCAGTGACAATAATTAACCAAAATCGAGAAAAAATGCAACACAATATGACATGTCCATCTCAAAACATTCTTATTACACTTATCCTGCGTCCCCGCTCATTTAGTGGATGGTGTCCTTGTAACAATAATTTATTTTGTTCTTTTACGTTATAATAAAACCAGTCAAAGCTATTTAAGTTAGGTCTTTATAATGCGGGATCACTCAATACAGGACATGCTCATTTTCTTATTGCTATGGACCGTTATAGACCAGATATAGTTGCGATTAACGAATCATGGATCCAAAGTGGGTAAGAGGCTCGTGCGCCGGCCGTGCCCGGCTACCGACTCCAAGTCACTCCGCGCCCGCTACACATGCGCGATGGCCTGGGGGTGGACTTGCTTTTTATATTAAACACGACGTTAACGTGTGATATTTGATTAGACCTAATGTGCAAATTGAGCAGATGTGGTTATCGACTCAGGTCAATGGTTATAGTGTTGCTATAGGGACTGCGTACAGACCACAATGGATCAATATAGATATATTTATTGACGCTTTAACTGACTCCATTAATTATTTTTCAAAGGTATGATTTTATTGTATTGTTGGGAGATTTTAACATTAACATGCTTGTGGAAAGTAATAGTAGTACTGTCAAACTTACTCAATTCCTTGATTACATGAACCTCCGTCAGGTTGTTAGTGAGGCAACACATTACACATCGTATACCGAGACTCTGATAGATCTTGTTTGTACGAATGCACCAGTTCGTGATGTCACTGTCAACAATATAATGGATTCCAATGGACACGCAATGGTTAATGTTACAATTTCGTTAAAAGGTTAAAAAACCAACTAGAACTTTCAGTTTCAGGCCAATTAATAAAATAAATCTAAATGAATTTAATAATGATTTATATGTAATCAACTGGAACGATGTAATTGAGTTACCTTCAGTGGATATGATGGAAAAATTTAATTCAATGATGATCTCTCCCTTTGATAAGCATGCAGCAGTGAAAACAATAATTCTAAAACCAAAATATTCACTGCCGTGGGTAATCGATGTCTGTAAAATGATGATCGATGAGCGTAATATGGCTTACGATGTCTATAGAAAATCCGGATCAGACGAACATAAAAAAATATTACAAGGACTTAAAAGTCTAGTGTTAACAAGTATTGCAGGAGAAAAGCGGGCCTACTTCAATAGTTTACTTAACTTTCAAGCTAAAAACAGCAAAACATTTTGGAAAAATTTGAAGGAAAACATTTTGGTTGACCCCTCGAAATACAAATCCTTGCCTCCCTATTTCAATGACACAAACAAAATTAATGATCATTTCTTGAATATTCCGGGAGACAATGTAGTCTCCAATGCAGATATAGTATTTAAATTAGCTCCCGTAGAATCAACAGATATTTCTAAATATATAACGTCCATAAAATCGAATGCTGTTTGACAGGATGGAATTAGCAGAGATATGATATTACTCCCTCTTCCTTGCACTCTAGATACAATCACGGCTACAATTAATAAGTCAGTATGACGGGTATAGTTCCTGATATGTGGAAGGAGGCACTAGTGACCCCAATACCAAAAAATGAAAACCAGATCGAATTAAAAAATCTTAGGCTCATCAGCATTTTGCCATTCCTTGCGAAACTGCTGGAGAAAGCTATTTGCGAACAGTTGACAAAATTTGTTGAAACGACCAACATCTTGCCTCATTTACAATCTGGGTTTCGCAAAGGACGTGGCACATCGACTGCTTTACTCGATGTTACAGACAATATATTAGCTGAACAAGATTCCGGACACAGTACGATTATAACGCTATTAGAATATTCACGCGCTTTCGACTGCCTAAATATTGACCTACTGCTTGTTAAACTGTCATATTATGGCTTAGACAAAAATTCGGTCAAGTGGTTCAGTAGTTACTTGAATAATCGGTACCAATCAGTAAAATTGGTAAAAAGTGATGGGTCTATAGTAAGTTCTCACCCAAGGCTTATTAATCGTGGTGTTCCTCAGGGTTCAATACTTGGTCCACTTCTTTTTATAATTTACTGCGCTGATCTTGTCAAAGTTATAAAGTATTCTACGTACCACTGCTACGCTGATGATGTGCAAATATACGTGTCGGACTAAGACCAGATAAGTTACCACAAGCTGTCACACGGCTTAATGAAGACTTGAACAGAATTGCTAACTGGTCAATAAGAAACGCCCTTGATTTAAACCCTTCAAAGTCAAAATATATGCTCATGGGCACAAAGACGCAAATAAATAGAATTCGTGGTAACCTAGATGTTAAAATTCATGGTAAACATATAATGCACGTGGATGAAGCCAAAAACCTTGGCATTACCTTCGACACTAATTTCAGATTTGAAAATCATATCCTTAATATGGTAAAAAACTGTTTTTATCGCCTAAAGGTTTTATACCAAATCCGTGACCAACTTTCTGTACCATCACGCATTACTCTTTGCGAGTTATTGGTTTTGTCTAGGCTCAACTACGGGGGTTGTTATGGACCCCGGATTTTCAGCAAAACAAAGCGACTAATACAACGCGTGAAAAATGCATGTTGTCGGTCCTGTTTTGATGTACCTCCCAGAAATCACATTACACCCTTTCTGAACAATGCTTCCATGCTCAATATGGACTCACGTAGAGAGCTACATTTAAGGGACTAGTCTTTAGTGTTATTAAGTTTAAGAAACCAGAGTACTTGCATGCAAAGATAAAGTTTGCTAAGCAAGCAAATTCTGGAAAACAATTGAGATCCATAAGATCAGCACTCCTCCATATTACAGCCATAAAACAGCGGCATTTACCGACAGTTTCCGATATATGGCAACGAAGTGTTGGAATAACATCCCACCACCAATAAGAAATCTTAACACAACACAAACATAAACAGAAACAAGGTATTCCCAAACACTTCGTTTGCCAGCTATAAACCATGGCATGTTATTTTCTTTTTTTTCTTTTTTCTTTTACTAACTCATCATGGTTTTTAAGTCATTTAGGTACTAGCCTTAATTGGGTA